TTTGCCTTTCTAGCTCCTTGAGATGTGACATTAGGCTGTTTACTTGTGATCTTTCTATTTTCTTGAGGTGTGCATGCAATGCTAAGAATTTCCCTCTTAACTCTACTTTCATGGCATCCCAGAGATTCTGCTAAGATGTGTCTTTGCTTTTGTTTGTTTCTAGGAATCTTTTTACTACTGTCTTGATTTCTTTGTTGACCCAGAAGTCATTCTGCAACATGTCATTTAGTACCCATGTCTTTTTGTGCTTTGGGAGGCTCTTGGTGGTGGTGATATTTATTTTTATTCCATTGTGATCTGAGAAGATGCATGGTATTATCTCAATCATTTGATATTTGTTCATACTTAATTTATGTCCAAGAATGCTACTGAACTTGGCATATACTCCATGTGATGATGAGTAGAAAGTATACTCTTTAGTGGTTGGGTGGAGCGTTCTGTAGATATCTATCAAATCCATTTGATCAAATGTTGAGTTAAGGCTCTGGATCTCCTTGTTGGTTTTTACCTAATGAGATATTGAGGTCACCAACTATAACTGTGTGAGTATCAATGCAGTGTACTTAGTAGTTGTTTTATAAAACCTGGTGCTCCTGTGTTGGGTGCATATATGTTTAAGATATCTATTTCTTGCTGGTGGATTAATCCTTCTATCATTATGTAGTGTCCTTTTTAATTTTGATCATTTGAAGTTTTAAAATTTGTTCTGTCTGATATCAGAATAGCTACCCTTGTTCTTTCCTGCTTTCTATTTACCTGAAAGGTCATTTACCAGCCTTTAACTTTGAGCCTGTGGGTATCCTTTGCATTGGATGAGTTACCTGGAGGCAGCAGAATGTTAGATCATACTTCTTTATCTAGCTTGACACTCTATGCTTCTTCATGGTGCATTCAGTCCATTCATGTTCAAATTAATTATTGAAATGTGAGAGTTTTTCCCTGTCATAAGGATTGTAGGGCATTGCTTTACTTCCTTTTTACTTTTTATTTATGTATGTGTATATTTTCATTTTTGTGAATGCTCTGCATCCTCCATTAACTCTGTGCTTGCCTGTACTTTTGTGATGGGTATAACTGTTCTTTTTTTTTCTTTGTTCACCTTTTTAATTATCTCCTGAAGGGCTGATCTGGGGTAGCATATTTTATTAGGGATTGGATGTCTGGGAAAAATTTTAATTCTCCATCATTGATGAAGCTTAATTTGGCAGGCTAGGACATTCTTGGTAGGAATTGCTTATCTTTGAGAATGTTAGAAATGGAACTCCAATCCTTTTGCCTTGTAGTGTTTCTGCAGATATGTTTGAAACAATTCTGATGGGTCTTCCCTAGTAAGTGGTCTGAATTTTCTCTCTTGCTGCCTTTAGGATTTTTTCTTTCATGTTTACTTTGTGGAAGCAGATTACTATGTGTCTTGGGGCAAGGTATCCTGTGGATACCTTGGAGGGGATTGCTGAATCTCTTGCTCTTGAATGGTCACCTTCTAGTGAAATACGGGAGGTTTTCTTGGATGATCTAATGGAATGCTTGTTTCATGATGTTCTCAGTTTCTCTTTCTGCTTCAGGGATAACAATAAGGCATAGATTTGGCTTGTTAACATCATCCCACATCTCTTGGGGGCTTTACTCATTCTTTTTGAGCCCTTTTTCTATGTTGTTGACAGACTGGGTTAATTCCATATTTGGTGTTCAAGCACTGAGATTCTTTCCTCTGCCTAATTGTTCCTACTCCCTATGCCTGTTAATGTGCTTTTAAATTCCAGGATGAAGTTCTTCATTTCCAGTATTTCAGAATGGGTCTTTCTGAAATTGGCCCACTCTGCTTTTACTTCCTGTACAACTGTGATGAGTTATGCTCCTACTTTCCTGTGGTTTTCTTTATTCATTTTCACCATCCAATCTTTAAGTTCTGTGGCTATCTTCTGGGGTAGTTCATTCTAGGGGACTGCCATTGTGCATGGATAGCTGCTTTTTCAGGTGCTGTCTCTTTAAGATGCTGAGGATTCCCTATGTCTTTTCACTGATTCTTCCTCATTTGTGAAAAGCAGCTCTTCCCTCTCTGTCTTTCCTCTTTGGTATTGCTGCTCGGAAGCTAGCCAATGTCCTGTGTTCTCGGGCCCTTACTGTCATTCAAGATAGATCACTCAGTGAGAGAGACGGGGCACTCACTTCTGGTTTGTGCCCCACCCTGCAAAAGGCCCCTCTACTGCAGAGTTTTTCCCATGGTTAGTCCAGTCTAGTTGGTTTTCAGATACTGTTGCAAATACTCTGGGTGGGGGGGCAGACCCCCAGTCTGTTGGTCGTGCTTTGCAGCACAGAAATCTACCCACTGGGCAAGACTTGAAGTGTTTTTCATGTCTCTCCTTATTCACTCCCTCCCCACTCAAGTCTGTACTCACACTTGAAAGAAATAAATGCTCTGCCGCAGGGGATCTCCCCTGTGGTTAAGCGGAGCTGGCAGGTGATCCTTCCTGATGAGGAGGGGGGTTGGCCACCAGATGCTGGTGGCAGGCACCAACCATGTTTAATCTGCAGGTGAGCTTTCCCTGCCTGACCACAAATACCTAATCAGAAATCCTCACAGCAAAGCCTTCACAGCCATCACTGCAATCTTCCAGGCAAAGGCAGGTGTGGGTAGGATTATTCCACTATGGAATACTGTCCTGTGTTCTGAACAGGACTTTTACTCATACCATTTGGAGCATGGAACTATTTGAATCCCAGTTTTAGAAGTAAAATAAAGTCATTTTATTCAGTGTATCATAGGGCAATTTTCTTGGTTGTGGACACTATTCCTTAGTGATAAGCCCACATTCCTACTGACTTTCACTACACACATAGTGAGATCTCCATATGTCCTCTATCAAGGGGACTATGGGACATTTGTAGGCCCTCTTGAGACAGAGGACAAAGTGGCACTGCATACAAATGGACTTGCTTGGTGTCATGAAAATTCAGGCTTAAATATCTACTTACCAGTTATGTTGTCTCTTCGGGTCTGGGGTTGGGAGGAGGGCGACTGGTGATGATCATGACTCTTTGTGCACTTAATGAACACAGACACATAGCCAAGACATTACTCTAAAAAGGGTTGGGGAGGGGTAAGCCATGACTGGGCCAGGTCCCCCCTAAGAGAGAAGTGCCTTTGCGGACAGGCACTGTGAGCTGTGGGCAAAGCTAGATGGTAAACACAGCACTTTGACATGCACAACAACCACCTGACCTAGCCTGGAGTGGTAGTGTGGCAGACCAAGCAGGCCAAAAAGGCTTCCTGGATGAAGCAGCATCAAGATGAAGGTAAAGAATGAGTCAGAGCTGGGAAGGCGGGTGGCTACCAGGGACACTCAACCCACTTGCTGGCTTCTAAATGTCGACAGAAGACCAGGCTGATTCCCACCTGCTCATTGTTCTACTCGCTCATTGTTGTTGAAGTTATATGAACTGCTCTGCATTCATTTAGTATTTCCAACCCAGAGTTTATGGTCTTTGCATTGCATTACAGTTTACAGAGCACTTTCATTTACTATCTCGGTTACAATGCACAACATTCATTAAGTACAAAGCTACTGACAGTGCTGCATGCTGTAGAATATGCATGGTTGTGGCTAGGCACAGTGGCTTATGCCTGTATCCCAGCACTTTGGGAGGAGGTAGTGGGAGGATCGCTTAAGTCCAGGAGTTCAAGACCAGTCTGGGCAACATAGCAAGACTTCATCATGTAGAAAGAAAGTAAGAAGGAAAGGAAAGGAAAGGAAAGGAAAGGAAAGGAAAGGAAAGGAAAGGAAAGGAAAGGAAAGGAAAGGAAAGGAAGGGAGGGGAAAGGGGAAGGGCAAGGGGAAGGGGAAGGGAAGGGAAGGGAAGGGGAAGGGGAAGGAAAGGAAAGGAAAGGAAAGGAAAGGAAAGGAAAGGAAAGGAAAGGAAAGGAAAGGAAAGGAAAGAAAGGAAGAAATTGGCTGAGTGTAGTGACATGTGCCTGTACTTCCAGCAACTCAGGAGGTGGATAACTTGAGCCTAGAAGTTGGAGTTGTTGAGCTATGATCATGCCACAGTACTCTAACCTGGGCAACAGAGTAAGACAGTGAGACCCTGACCCCAAAAATAAAAATAAAAGAATATACATGGCTATAATTTAGTAAAACCTCAGTAAGAATAGACTGAGGTATAATCCCAGTACTTTGGGAGGCAGAAGTGAGAGGATTGTCTGAACCCATGAGTTCCAGACCAACCTGGGCATCTTGGCGAGATTACCTTATCTCTAAAATGAGTCAAAAAATTAGCTGGGCCTGGTGACGTGTGCCTATAGTTTCAACTACTTGGAAGACTAAAATGAAAGGATCGTGTGAGTCCAGCAGGTTGAGGCTGTGGTAGCCATGAGTATGTCATTGTACTCTAGTCTGAGCCACAGAGTAAAACTCCAACTCAAAGAAAAAAAAGATATAGAGCAGAAAATACCATCTTTATCTTTGAACAGTTGATATAAAGACGACAATGAAATCCAGGCCAGGGAAACCCTCACAAGATAGTATCAGGAGTTGCCCACATCTAACAAGGCAAGACTAACAGCATGTAGCAAAGTTCCCAAACTGCTAAGGCAACTGCTGGCCCAGAGTGGGGAAAAGGTGCCTCACTCCCAGGAGAAGAACAGCATCCACATCCTCTTTCTCCTTCCTCTTCCTTCCTGCCTCCAAGGTCACCAGGGTCTCGTATCGGCCCAAGGATGAGTGATTCTTACGTGATCAACATTGATCGGTGAAATGCACCCTCAGTCTTTTAAATTCTCAGTAACCAGACTCAGAGAGCTTTTCCTTCTTAGGTGATCCTTCCTTCCCATCAAAACTTATCATTTCCTTTAGATATGGAGAACAGGGGAAGGTATGATAATGAAGAACTCATAATGTTTCTTCTTGGATGACCTGGTGCTGTGGGTCAGCTGCAGCGTATTTCATCACACCAGTCGTGCCAGTGCAGCTGGTGTCCCCGAAGGGAGTGGACACAGGACTTACCTGTGGCAAAGACAACATTCCTCGAGACCAAACGATGCTCCACAATGGAGAACTGTGGCAGCTCAATCCTTTCTACTCCAGTAACAGCCTTGTCCCCACCGCGCCAGTAAAATTCAATGTCATCCGTGGTATAGCCATCTGCCAATAGAGGGAAGCAGGAAGATGCTGGATATGAAGCAATATGTTCTACAAATACATGGCTAAACAAACAATAATTAATAAAATGAGAATAATGGCTTTGCCGTATTTGAATAGAGTTGCTTAATGTGTTTGTCTATGAGAAGTGCCAGGAAGAACTAACTTTCCAGTGTTATGTTACCTCTGCTGTTTCATTGGTCCCAGGCTGGTATTGAAAAGTCGAGAAGTGGGGAAGACCGGGTGCTCTCCCTAGAGTTCTGTTTACAAAGTATAACTTTTAGAGGTAGGCTAGGTATCACACAGAAATGAATTTTTTTTTTTTGAGTTGTAGTCTCACTCTGTCACCCAGACTGGAGTGCAGTGGCCGCTCCCGGCCACCGCAGCCTCGACCTGCTGGGGTCCGGCGATCCTTCCGCCTCCGCCTTTCGAGTAGGCGGAATTACAGGCGTGCACTACCACGCCAGGCTGATTTTTTGATTTATTGTAGAGATGAAGTCTCACCGCCCAGGCGGGTCTCGAACCCGCGGGCTCAGGCAATCCACTCACCTCAGCCTCCCAAAGGCGCGGGATTACAGGCTGAGCCACCAAGCCCGGACAGAAATGAATTTGAAATGCATCTTAGCTGCAATGAAAAAGAGAGTTGTAGGCGAAAAAGAGAACTCAAGTATGAAGGCGTCTGGAAAGGCAAACTCCTCTCAAGAGCTATTTCAAAATTTAAAGACTGAAGGTGAGTTTTGCCAACCAATGACTGATCATGTGAGGGACACTCAGAGCAAAAGTAGTGTTCTCCCTGGCATTTTGGGTGGTTTCATCAGCTTTTCTTGGCCACGAGGTTTGCCAACTTTAGGAATGCCTTTTCGGAGAATTCTGACCCTCCGAAATTGGCAAAGGCGGTCTCGTCAGAAAGAGGAGTGGTCACTAGCTGGACTGTAGCTCCAAATTCAGCCCTTAGCACAGTGCTTGTGTTCAACTAGTGATTAATAATGGCTTTCTGAGAACGAGTAAATAAGGCAATGCAGCCTGATGTTACTTGTAACATCCAGGAGTCTCCTAAAAGATTAACTCAATTTTGTCAACAAGATCAATTAAAACACAGATCTGAAGAAAAAAATTATCTCAGTAAAACAGACTTTTTAATTTGAAAATATAATATAGCAAAAAAGGTATCCACTCAATATGTGATGTTAGTCAAACTAGTGGACCAGAGAGTGGGAATGAGTGCCATCTCCCTAGCCCCATCTGCTGTCCTCTCTTTAATCAAACACACATCTTCATTTCTGTGTGATACCATGTCACTCCTCTGCTTAAAACCCTCAAGTTTCCCAATGGAGTTAACAAAATAAATCCAAACTCCTTACAAGAACCCCAGGAACCTACAGAGTTGGCCCCTATGAGTGTCTAGCCCACTCCCTTGCTCATCTCGCCCAGCTTCACTGGTCTTCTATTGCAGCTGAGACCAACAGGCTGTGCCCAAAGCTCCTGTGCCCCTGCAGGGACACACTTCCAGATCGTCACGCAGCACATTCTTCCCCAAGTTTGCATACTGACTTAAACAAAACTTTCTTGCCGAATACCTCCCTGACATCCAACTCACAAGCAGCCACCTCATAACCACTCACTATCTTTTTATCAGATTTTATTTTCTTCAAAGCATTTATCACCCTTTTTTTGTTCAATTGTCTCCTGTCTTTTTGGGAATAGAAACCTCATGAAGGCAGGTTTTTTTTTCTGTCATCTGTACATATTACTGTGCTGACTATAGTGCTGAGATGTCCACTAAAGATTTGTTGGATGAATTTATGGGTCAATAAAAAAGAATTTGCTTTCAAGTTTGGAAATAAAGACCCATCTTTCTTTTGTCTATTCTTCATACAGAGATGTGTGCAGTCAGGCCATCAGAAAATCGGCAGAATGCCATCTTCCATTTCAATTGCTGCCATTATGGATTCTCTGCTGGGGAGAGACTACAGGCTCTGAGGGAGAATCTCTTTTACAGCTGACCTTGCTCATTGCATTGAGTCACAGAGTCCACACTCTCAGAAGCCACTTACTACATAACAGACAGCTGAAATAGCGGCTGCTTCCTACTTAGATTCTAAATTTGCCTTCCTGAAAATTCCACTGAATCACTGGAGCTGTGCTCTCCGGACACACGGAATCCATTTGACTTCCTAAGATAGTCCTTCAACTACTGGAAAACCATCATCTTTCTACTGATCCTTTTGTCCTCTATGGTAAGTATCGCCAGCCAATTCAACAATGCATCCCTTGACATGACTTCATGAGCCTCCTCTTCTCTGAAAATACAGCACTCAGAAAACAAGACAGCGAGGTATGGTGGAGGTGTGAGGCACAGAGGGGCCAACCCCACCCGGATCTGGATACTTGCCTACCACCAGTGCAATCTCTCAATATATTCATTCACAAAGACACTCGCTTCCTGCCACAACTGCATCAAGTGTGCTGCAAGGTCAATGTCATTTATCCACCAAAAATTCAGTGTAAATATTGACAAACTAAATCCAACTGAAACTAGTTAAAGCCAGTCTATAATAGGACAAGAAAGCAACAACAGAAACAGCAGCCCGATATGCCAAGAGATAAAGTTTAGGTAGCAGCAGGGACATTGTTAGATGTTATGATGCAGCTCTTGTCCCACACACAGAATTACTCAAAGCTGCATTATCAGTAAAGCAGCTGAGCACTACTCAAATTGAAGAAAATTGCCAAGATACAGAAATAGCCTGCTTGCAAAGCTGAGATCCTGACGGGAAATGAGTTTTACTCTGACTGCACAGGGTCCCAGCAGCACAGCCACTCAGGTGTGATGAAGCACGTTGTGAGAAAATTGCATCTTGGTATTTTCTGTCTTCTCAGTGAATGGCCCAAAATGAAGGGTATTTGATTTTTAATATTTCAGCACAAGCAGACTCCCTTAATCAGATTAGGGTGAATAACTCTTTTATACTCTCTCTCTCTCTCTCTCTCTCTCTCTGTCTCTTTCTCACAGTAAAATTTGCCAATTGGAGAATTAAATCTCTACCTTTTAAAGTAGGTAAAATTATGAGTGCTTTGGGAAGATGCCAAATAATGATATAAATATCTCAGACATAAAGCAAATGAAAAAGAAACACAGAGACAGATACACACAGCTTTCGATCTCCAGAGTGCAGTTCTGCTCATCCAGAGGATACCTCCTCAAGTCCATCATGCACGCTGCTGTCGTGGTGATTCTGAAATACACAAGATGAGGCAGATATTAAAGAGGGTGTGAGAAATCTAGCAGGGAAATTGCTTCTTGAATGATAGCAAGTACTCCTCCCACTCGTTGTTGTACCACTTCCCCAAAACACACCTGACTAAACATCTTTCACAAAATATATTGAGAAATTTGAATCATTAAGAAACTCTTTTCAGCATACTATAGACCAGATTTATCACAAACTCCACAAAACTTCATTTAAAAAGTTATTTAGTTTGTAATGGAATATACAATAAAAATTGTATATATTTGTGATGTACAACATGATGTTTTAAAATATGTATACACTGTGGAATGGCTACATCAAGGTAATTAACATGCATTACATGACACATTTATCATGTTTTTGTTATGAGAACACAAACTCCACCCTGTTGACAATTTTCTAGTATCTAATACTTTGTTATTGACTATAGTCACCGTGTTGCACCCAAAAATTTAAATCCCATAAAATTATGCACTGCCTCTTGTTGACTTTGGATAATCAAAGACAGAGAACGGGGTTTCTAAGGAAGTTCTTACCTTCAGCTTGTATTCAGTCTATCAGCTCACCAACCTCTCTCGCATAGAAAGAGATTATGTGTGGGAATGCACTGATAAGGTCTTTGGGGTCTTGCACTCTTCATGTGAAGTGTCAAAGCAGCTACAGATGCATGCTGGAACTCTAAACCACACTTCTGCTTACTACTATTTTAGTACAGTTGTCCATTGGCCTGGATTCTAATAGTCTAGAATTTTCACCAGGTGATTATCTATATTTTTGAAGAGAATATTTGGTTTTTATGTTACTGATTATAAATCAAAATGGGGTGTGCTAACTTCCCTCAAGGCCAGCTGCAACCATGGAAAGAACTTCTGCCCCAAGGCATTTAAGGCTCCACACTGCAGTGGTTACAGCAACCACACACTGAGAAACAATAGTTCTAGAAATGTTAAGTCCATTTCCTTCTCTTTCTATGGCTTCCACTCAGGAAAACCAGCCTACTCAAAGTCACTGCTGAAAATGCACCTATTAGGCCACTATGTTTTACGCTACATTTCTCTAGAACCCCACCACTGCCAAAGCTGGCTGAACCAAGGTAGGTCAAGAACAGCTGACCATTAGCTGGCCAGAGACCAATGACATGGAGTTGAAGGGATTCTCTTTCATGGGCATGAATTAAACTGTAAATATAAGAGTGGAAGTGAATCTGCAAAGTCATGCTTTATAGGTTTGTGATACTATTTCCAAACTGGAGAGCAAAGAATGAGAAAGTGTAATAGGAGGTTGAGAAGATGCAACAGTGGACAGCAGAGGAGAGAATGCCCCAGCACAGGGCCTTGCTGGCTGTGCACCCCACACCTCCAGGGTGAAGACTCCCAAAGCGCATGCAGGAGCTATAAAACCAGCAGCCCTGGCTATGCCCATTCAGTGATAGACCATAGCATGAAAAAGAAAGAATGCTTTCTCCTGAGATCCTAAGAGTCACTTTGAATCCCCAAGTATCCTCCAGGTTTCCTCTTTCTTCTTGAAGCCCAATATTCTTCTTGGAGTCCTCTGAATGTATTTAATTCTGAATCTTTATAACAAACCTTCGAATACTTCAGGTAACATGAGCAAGCCCTGTGCCTACCAACAGATCCTACCCTAAACACCTGTAAAACACCAGGCGTGTACCAATAATGGAGGCTTGTCTCAATTCACCCTAAATGCAGGTGCTCGGGGACTAATGGAGTAAAGTGTGTCCTTCTGTTAGCATCTGGCCAAGCAAGCCCAAAAAGAAAAGTTCTCTTTCTCAGTGGGTAAGAGAAGCAGTGAGGGAAAATGTCAACATATTTGGCAAACAAAGGCTAAATTTCCTAAATAAGCAGCATGTATGTGCCCTGCAGACATACACTATAGATCCATACCAATGGTGAAAGTGTCACGACACTTCCAATTATCCTTGCAATTAAGGAGTAGATTGCATTCTATAATTGAAAATCAACATGTGGCTCTTTGGTATATTTTCCTACAGCATCAGACTGTCTAGTCAACCGAAGTTCAGCCTCACACTTTACATTTTTAGCATGTTTTATGGCAGATTGACAACCCAACATCCACACAAGACGCCTATAAGGTGAAACTAGAATAAAGTTCTGCTAAAATTATAAATTTTTATGAAGAAGAGAAGAAGACGTTTTTCACTGGCAATGTTAAAATTTTCCTACATGTTTTGTACCTATTCACCTGAACAGAGTCAGTAATTGAGATCATTATCTTATCGTTTGTTTTCTGTTCCATTCCCCAAGTTACTCCTAACATGCACATACAGACACACATGCCCAAACTGGAGGTACCATATGCAGCAGTCACACATGGGTATGTTTTAGCAATTTTCCAGTACACAATACTTTGTTATTAACTATAGTCACCATGTTGCGCCAAAAACTTTAAATCCTATAAAATTATTTAAACTCTATAAAATTATTCACTGCCTCGTGCTGACATTGGATAATCAAAGACAGAGGGTACCTCTGGTAATCAAAGACACGTGGGTAGTGTTTCCAGGGAGCTATTGGAAGGAAAAGGAGAATATGAGGCTAGAATTGGTGAAGGTAGGCCTTTCTTTCTGCCAAGGCAACTACTATGTTGTTTCCACATGCAGTAGTTATCCAGGTCTTCCTGTTTTGGTATAATGTTGACTATAAAATTGAGCCTATTTTCTTTTTACTTGAGGAATAAGGTAGAAAAATCTATTCACAACTCTTCTTCATTTGGAAGAAATACTCAAAAAACCCTCTCGGAGTGGAGAGTGAGACACAGGAGCCTGCTCGTGCTACAAAAGTTAAGCATAAAGATGACAAATGGAAGAAGTCATGGACCTGCCAGGACACAAGGCACAAAGAAGGAAAGTGTGGAGGGTGGGAGCAGAAAGAGAGATGACGTAGGCTGTGCTCGCATCCAAGTTGGCTAAACACGTCACAGGCTTGGCAAGTGGATTTTTGAGTGAATCAACCAAATTTTGCACCTCTAGGACTTTGCAGAAATTGTAGGAGGATTGAGGAATTTCACAGACTGAAGAATGTGAATGGAGATCGACCAAGAGCAGATGTGCCACGCAGACAGCTGGGTTCCATTTGTGTGATCCTCAACCCTTGCACACATCTTTTCATATTTCCCCTTAATAAATATATATATATTTTTTGTCCTGAGAGAAGAATTTAACTAACATTTAGTTCCACTTCCCCAACCACCTGTAATCTGAGAATTCCACTCTTATTCTTAAGGAATAGTTGAGAAACCAACCAATCAGAATTCAGTATGGCTGGGTGAGGATCTCTGCAGTATTACTAATCAGAAGATCCCTTTTTTATCCTTTTAGTTGTTTATTTATGACTGGGAGGCAACATGCTTAGACTCCCAATGGTTGTAAGGCATGCTTCTGATAGGGAAGCAGGGAAAGATGGTGGTCATGTGACCGAAAAGGCGTGTTCAGTATGTTCTTTCTTTACCAAATTGCCATATTTTGAGAGTGCTGAAAGTAGAAACAAACAAATAAACAAAAACAGTATCAATGAAGAGATAGAGAAGTGAGGACTAGGAGACTGGACAATGTCGAGGGATGGGTGCTGATTCATCATCACTGGTGCCCAAGAGAGCCACCAAGCATATCTGTATTTCATGTGACATGGTTTGAGCTCTTACTCAGTGCCCAGCTCTGTGCCATGCACTTTAATACACACGTGTTTAATTGCACAATGATCACATGATAGGGATATTATTATTTTCATTTTTCAGATGAACAAACCAAGGTTTAGAAAAATTAAGTAGCTTAGCACTGTTTCATGAAGCCACTAAGAACATTCTTACCACTGCAGATGCAGCATTCAGATCCAGGCAGGTGAACCTTGCACTCTACTGTGTTCTTATCACTCTTTTACCTTAAAAAGTACAAATCACATTCAACTTTAAAAACCTACTCAGGAAGTGAGTTCTTGTTCTGATTGAAGAGAAAGGTGAGATTAAACATATATAAATAGAGATATAAATATAGATACACACAGATCATATGCATATATATACTCATTTTATTTTATTTTACTTTATTTTATTTTTGAGTTGGAGTCTCACTCTGTCGCCCAGACTGGAGTGCGGTGGCCGCTTCCAGACACCGCAGCCTCGACCTGCTGGACTCCGGCGATCCTTCCGCCTCAGTCTTCCAAGTAGCCGGAATTACAGGCATGCGCTACCACGCCCGGCTGATTTTTTGATTTATTGTAGAGATGAGGTCTCCCTGCCCAGGCAGGTCTCAAACCCGGGGGTTCAGGCAATCCACTCACCTCAGCCTCCCAAAGCGCGAGATTACAGGCTGAGCCACCGAGCCCAGCTACTCATTTTATTTTAATTGTGTATGTGACGAGTTGAAAATACAATAAGATAATGGAGAAGATAGGTATTCTATATGCTATTTCTGCAGTAACTCTAGTGACATATAATCCAAACAATTTCCTACCCATTGTGGAATAGGAAAGTTTATTGGATCATTCTGCTTTTATAAATAATACACGCCTAAAGATCTGTTTAAAAGTTAAAGTTATAAGCATGCAAGTTATAAAGAGAGCATTACCTCCAGTAAATTTAAGTAAATATTTTGAAATACTTGATGACATACCATCTTTGGACACTGTCTCCAGACTATCCTTAGAGTCCTCTCCCTGCACTGCTGAGTGAGGAAAACTCACTCAAGAAGGTCAGGAGGTCAGGGTCCATGGATTGCAGTGTGTTGAGGAGTTTTCATTTTGTCTGGATTGTTTTAAGTTTGTGAAATATACTTTGGCATCAATACTTCACTTTTAAATATCCATCAATTTATAAATCATAATAAGGGCAGATGCAAACTCTTCAGGTAACTGCACATACAAATTTCCCTACAGACCACCTGGTAGGAGCTGTTGCAGAAATGTCGCTGTTGACTAGTCAGGAACATGCTAACTACTGCAAACATCTGT